CTCGGCTTACGGGCAATCCCAAATGGGATAAAGTTTCCCGTCCAGTCCGGATCAGGGGGTTGCGGCGTGGAGGAAGATTTGAGTTTCCTGAAGATATTTTGGATACAGAAGCTCTTTATGAAACATAAAACATGTATTTTATATTATTTCAACGGTCAAAACAGCGGCCGATGTCGGTCCGACGTCGCCCCGACGTCGGCCCGACCTCAGCAATTGATCTCGGTCCGACGTCGGCCCGACGTCGGCTGGACCTCGGCTGGACGTCGGAACATGCGGGCATATACGACATCCAGCCGACGTCGTGCCGAGGTTGGACCGACGTCGGGCCGACGTCGGCATGTTGATGCCGAGTTGCCGACGTCACCCCGACGTCGGCCGACGTCGGGCCGACGTCGGCATGTTTACTGGGCGTGCTTCTGTGGGTGAAGCACTAAAGCATCACGGAATCCCACAGGACTTGCGAGTCGACGAGGTGGCCGCTTTGGCCGCCGGGTACTGCAGCTCCCTGGAGTTGCCTGGGACCGATGGCAAAACAACAGCTCCGGCGGTGCCCCTATGGGCCGTAGTAATTAGTGAATTCCTGTAATGTAGAGATCATATCCTCAATAATCTCCATTACCATTCTATATTCCTAAACAGTATGACAGAACAATTATGCTTGCCTACGTTCAGGCATTACCTCTGATGGTCATACGCCCAGTACAACATGTGTTGTCTGTCAAACAACAATCGACGACGGGATCCCTTCTCATCATCTCTTAAGCCATCGGTTGTCAATTCACCCACCCCGTTTCCCTAAAAATAGACGGTCAGATTCGGCCTTTACGACCCCTCTAGATTCGCCAGAGACGGGATCAGATTGCCGTTATTGCACCCGTCGGCCGTCTTAGTGTCTTTAATACTATATGACAGCTTCGACCACGGACGTCGGACGGGGTGATCGTTCCACGAATGTACGCACCATCCAGGCCTAGGATGCATCGAGGTTTAAAAGATTGCAGTCTGTAGATCAATCAACATAACAATGGTGGTATGCAACCACATTAAAATATCTCCCCGGCTCCCGCAACGTTCCAACGCCCCTCCGTTATGCATTCGCCTTGTGTGTCCGCCGAGCCGGCTTGCCTCCAATGACGTCATCGGCCGGCCGGCGGCGTTCAAGGTCAAACGGCTGGTGTCCTTACCTGGTATATAGGGCCTTGGGCAGGAAGCTATTTCCCATACATGCGTACCGTTTTAGGGAGCGTTGCAAATGTTATGGAGGAACCAAAACGCCCCAATTTCAACCTTGTTGAGTCTTTCATGGCTATGGAGTCAGATAAAGAAGACGTTCTTGAAGGTGTGATGGAAAAGCCCATTGAAGAAATTGAGGCAACAAAGAAATAGCGTCAAAGTTTCAAGTTTTATATTGTGATGTTTCACTTAATTCATGACAAATAATAAAATTATTGCATTAAACCAATGTAGGTAGGTATATCATAAGCCAATCAAATAAAATGGACGATAGATAAAATGAAGTTATAAGGAGCAAAGTGATGCTCTTCAACTTTATGATGTGACGTCATTCGTAATGACGTCATATATTTGAGAGGTGCAGGAAAACGTCGAGGGGTGCAGGAAAACGTCGAAAGGTGCAGGAAAACATATTTTCCTGCATGTCTCGGAAACCAATCAGCATTGACTTCTCGTATGTTTCAAAAGTGCAGTATAATGCACGTGCCATTTTAATGCCTGGCTTTCTCGATTTAAGCGTGCAATGTTGCATGTATGGGAATATTCAATCATTATTTCAGCTCATTCTTACACGGTCTTCGGCGGTCTAAAGATAAGGGGCCCATTTGAAGCGGGGCGGCCGAAGCCGCCTCAAATGGGCCCCTAATCCTTCGAGTTAGGCCCCCCAGCTCGAATGGGGGGGGGGGCACGGGCCCGTGTGCCCCCCCCCCCTTGTGTGCGCCCTTGGTGGCAAATGTCTTCCCCCACAACCGGGGTAGCGCCCGAGATCGCTTTTCGAGAATAAAAGAAAACTTCACAACTTTTCTGAGGAAATGTTGGTTAATCACACTGAACAGCAGTGCGCAAGGAATCGAAATCCGAGTTTTTTTTTAATTCATTCGGAGAAACCTTTTTGGGGTAAGCCCCCGCAGTGTCCAAGACCGCTTCCTGGATCCGTCAGTTGTGAATAAGTCACGGTCGATACCGAGCTTCGGCGGGACCAGGCGCTGCATACGTTGAACCTACAATGAAGAGGTGGACAGACACCTAACCCCACATCCTACTGCTATACCCGTGCTTCTGTGGGTGAAGCACTGAAGCATCACGGAATCCCACGGGACCTGTGAGTCGACGAGGTGGCCGCTTTGGCCGCCGGGTACTGCAGCTCCCTGGAGTTGCCTGGGACCGATGGTAAAACAACAGCTCCGACGGTGCCCCTATGGGCCGTAGTAATTAATGAATTCCCGTAATGTAGACTCGTAGAGATCATATCCTCAATGATCTCCATTACGATTTTATATTCCTAGACAATATGACAGACCAATTATGCTTGCCTACGTTCAGGCATTACCTTTGATGGTTATACGCCCAGTACATGTGCTGTCTGTCAAACAACAATCGACGACGGGATCCCTTCTCATCATCTCTTAAACCATCGGTTGTCAATTCACCCACCCCGTTTCCCTAAAAATAGACGGTCAGATTCGGCCTGGGTCCTTAAAACCCCTCTAGATTCGCCAGAGACGGGATCGGGTCGCCGTTATTGCACCCGTCTAGTGTCTTTAGATACATAGACAGCTTCGACCACGAACGTCGGACGGGGTGATCGTTCCACGAATGTACAGTCTGTCTTAAAAGTACCGCGCAAAGTGACGGTGGATCCATCAAGCCTGACCGAGAAAGGGCCTGTTTTGTTTTGAAAGTCACCGACCAATTGACCTAGGGAATGGACGAGGATGTCAATTGCTTCGGTGACCCAAATCTAGCAGGCCCTTCCTCAGTCAGGCTTGATGGATCCACCTTCACTTTGCGCGGTACTTTTAAGACAGACTGTACGCACCATCCAGGCCTAGGATGCATCGAGGCTTAAAAGAATGCAGTCTGTATATCAATCAACATAACAATGGTGGTATGCAGCCACATTAAAATATCTCCCCGGCTCCCGCAACGTTCCAACGCCCCTCCGTTGTGCATTCGCCTTATGTGTCCGCCGAGCCGGCTTGCCTCCAATGACGTCATCGGCCGGCCGGCGGCGTTCAAGGTCAAACAGCTGGTGTCCTTACTTGGGTTAGGCCCTTTCGGTCTGATAAGACCATTTCAGAGCCCGAAGGATGATAGGAATTAGGAGGAGACATTGGTCTGGGCAGACACTTTAGAGAGTCGCCGGGGCTGAGCCCGTCCAGAGGACAGGCCACCCAGCCCCAAGGCACTCACTGCACCCGGCTACGGGGTGCGCTCCCTCGGGAGCAGCGGTGCCGCTCCAAGGGAGCAGCCCGCATGAGATAAAGGTGCCTGTCCAGCCCGGAGTGGGGGTTTCGGCGTGGAAGAGAAGGATTTCAGTATCCTGAGTATGGAAACGACGGAACAGAGGAGGACGTTGCTCCCAACCTCCCCTTTACATAGCCGCGAGTAGTTTTTTTTTTCGGTTAAAAAAAGGAACTGTAAGCTTTTTGTCAACGTGCGACGGTGATATAGGCCGCACCACTATAGGCGGCTAGTGCAATAGCCGCCTTTGTTTTAACATCACGGACGGCACTGAGCCGAGTCACGGACGGCACTGAGCCGAGTGCCCATGCCACCCTCATCTCACACACTTGATCTTACTTGTCCCAATCGCTCTGAAAGTTCTCAAACTCCCTGACCGGTCAGTGAGTTTGCAAACTCCCTAGTGAGTTTGCAAACTCACTGACGGGTCAGGGAGTTTGCAAACTCACGGATTTCTCAAACTCCCTGTAACATATACGAGGGGGTACCCAAAAGAAACGGGAATTGTTTCATATCTGTTTATTCACTGATCCCTACACATCGTCACTCATGTCATTCTTAAAGTACTCTCCCTGCGAGACAATGCACCTATGCAGACGCGTTTTCCAGCTCTCAAAGCAGCTCTGGAAGTCTTGCAAGGTGATGCCTTGCAGAGCCATCGCGTCGTTTTTCCTTTTACCTTATCAAAGTCGTCGAAATGGTTTCCCTTGAGGTCTTTTTTCATTCTGGGGACCAGGAAAAGGTCACAGGGTGCCAAATCCGGTGAATAGGGAGGGTGGATCCGTGGGGTCATGCATTTTTTGTCCAAAATTGTCTGACACTCAAGGCGGTGTGCGCTGGCACACTGTCGCGATGAAATCACCACTCCCCGCTTCGCCACCTGTCGGGGAGTTTTCGTCTCACCGTGTTTCACACACGCCGCAGAACGTCCAAGTAAAACGTCTGATTGGCAGTTTGACCAGGGAGGAACAATTTCCTTTTGCACACTTCCCTTTGCATCGAAAAAACAAATCAGCATTGTCTTGACATTTGACTTCACTTGGCAAGCTTTTTTGGGACGCTTTTGGGACAACATTGGACCACTTTGGAAGTGCGAAAATCATTCATAAACCCTCGTCTTGCTCACGGCAGCATATTTGTATGCTACTTGAAGCATTGGAACCGTTTCAGTCGCGGACTTTCCCAGCAGGAAACAAAATTGCACAGATGCGCGTTGTTACTCAGTTCCGCTATGCATAAAAAACGACAGATCGGGCGGGAGTGCTTCAATAAATACGTGCGCCACGCGGCCGCGCCTCTTTATTTCGTCACCTCACGGTGCAGACTAAGTCCCAGGGGCCAGACTGGTTTGCCCCTAGCAGGGCAATGCCGAGCTACAACTGGCTTGGCCTACAGAGAACGATTCCCGTTACTTTTGGGTACCCCCTCGTACATGAGGCAAACCAAGACACAGCACAGCAAACAGCACACTGCATAAAGCTAATTACGCGCACCACAGAGCGGCCAGAGTGGCGGCGGCTGACCTGCATGGCCGAGCGGCCGAAGCTGGCGATGACCGAGCCGAGGCAGACCAGCACCAGCAGCACAATGAGCAGCACGGCTCGCGTGTAGAGGCCCGGGCCCACGGCGCACACCAGGAAGTTGACCAGGTTGATGCAGAAGCCGTACAAGAAGCGCCACCAGGCGCCGTCTGGCATGCCGGCGTCCCATTCACCTGCGGCGCAGACGGTCCAGGGGTGCTGGTCAGCCTGCAGCACTCGCGTGCCGGTGGCTCCGGCCAGCGCCGGGGAATGCCGGCCGGGGCCCGGCAGCTGCCCGGACGCCCACAGCCCAGCCCAGCTCCGGTCACCGCACGGCTCGTCGGAACGTCATTTCAAGCTCAAAAGAAACGAAATATATAATTCGAGAGCTGACGGTGAGATGATCCCAAAAACTTAATTTTTATCGAAACTATTCGATGAACTTTTCCAAAACTGCCTTTTTGGTTTAAAAAAACGCAATAATATTCCATTCAACGGACTGTCGCGAGCATTCTTGAAGTCAGAGGCATGTTTTTTCGTGTCTCAGAGAAATTTTTATTTATTTATTTATTTATTTATTTATTTCACAACATCGCCAACAGGCAGTCCCATTGAGAGGCGAAGTCAAAAGTCATCTTTTAACGTCAAAAGAACAGTAGGTATGTAGCAAAAGAATATTCACGAATGGTAATATGCAACTCCCACAGCCGACAAAAAAGTGCAATCACACGGCTCAGTCTCACGATGGACCAAAGTCAGCCACACAGAAGCGTGCAATGACCCTAATCGACTCGCAGGCCCGGCGCTCTCGGCCCGCCTGACCGGCCACGTCAAGAACCTTCGTCTCTCTTTCTACTAAACAAGTGTTGTAGGCGCCGTTAGCGCGATGTGCACGGCTTGGTGGAGACCTGTGAAAATGTTAGTTGGTCGGCCGTTCGACAGATGGCCCGCGCGGGGCACACGCTTGTGGCTCGTGATGTTGGCTGTTTATTATTGGAGATTTCTGTACAACTATTGGATTTTTATATGTATAAACTTGTTTAACCCGCACCCGGCTGGGGGTCCTGGATTTCCACGCCCTGCGGGGGGGGGGGTGTTTGAACACCCCCCCCCTTCTAACTCGGCTCCTGGGCCACGTAGCGATACGCGGAAGGCGGCGTTCGAAAGAGCGCCAAAAATAGTGACGAAATCACTTTGGTCAATTTTTTGGTCAGGTCAAAGGTCAGGTCACCAGAGGTTATTGAATGCAAAATTTCGCCGATTTTCAGGTCGAATGTCGGCAATTTCCAGGAAGCCAACGCATAACTCGGGAACCAATAAAGCTACAGTGCCGCGGAAAAGCGCATTCGATAGCCCTATTAACCCGCGCCCTGCTGGGGGGGTGTTTGAACACCCCCCTTGTGGTTTTTCGCGAATATCTCAAAAACGGCGGCGCGGAGCGCCGCCGTTTTTGATACACCTTATCATACATCAATTCTACACATGTTGTGAAAATTTCAGACCAAGGTCATTCAAGGTCAGGTCACCAGGTCACTTGAAGTGACCTCACCTCATAAAAAGTTTCAATGTCTGTCATAGCTACACCGAGTGACCGATCGCTTTGAAACTTTCAGCGATTGCTAAGAGCAATAGCATGTACAGAATGTATATCTCAGAATTTTGATATCGATGACCTAAGGTCAGGTCAATTTTGCGACCTCCCCATTATAAGTCAATGGGAGAAAATTGAAATGCGCCTCTTTTCGACGAAAGACATTATAAACACTCCCAAACACTGAATTACAAGTGGTTTAGACACACTGAACATGGAAATGGTGTCCGTGACCCCTGTTTATGCCCTGAGGTCATCTTAGGTCACGAATGGTATCTAACAGTTTTTCGCAAATAACTTTTGATAGAGGCATGCTAGAGCGATGAAAACGCCTTAGATGTGTTCAGCTCGACGATACGGATCGACTGATATGCAACATGACCCTTTCCGGTCAGGTCATGACCTTGAGCTAAGGTCAAATTTTGAAGTTGACCTTTCAAGGTCAAGTTATAGTTCATTCGATGCGTCTTGACGAGAGGAACACGATGCCGGTAAAAGTAAGCTCGTACAAGGCTTGGGTCAAAAGAAATTGCAGAAAAACTGTTTCCGAAAAAATCGGCTATTTTTGCAGTTTTTGCCCCCTGCAGGCAAAACCGTTGACGTTAGGTCAAATCTGAGAGAATTACTCAGAAAGGGCGTTAATAGGGCTATCGAATGCGCTTTTCCGCGGCGCTGTACCTCTATTGGTTCCCGAGTTATGCGTTGGCTTCTTGGAAATTGTCGACATTCGACCTGGAAATCGGCGAAATTTTGCCTTCAATGACCTCTGGTGACCTGACCTTTGACCTGACCAAAAAATTGACCCAAGTGATTTCCTCATTATTTTTGACGCTCTTTCGAACGCCGCCTTCCGCGTATCGCTACGTGGCCCAGGAGTCGAGATAGAAGGGGGGTGTTCAAACACCCCCCCCCCCCCCAGCAGGGCGTGGAAATCCAGGACCCCCAGCTGGGCGCGGGTTAACGCTCTTTCTGAGAAATTCTTTCAGATTTGTCCTAACGTCAACGGTTTTGCCTGCAGGGGGCGAAAACTGCAAAAATAGCCGATTTTTTTCGGAAACAGTTTTTCTGTAATAACTTTTGACCCAAGCCTTGTACGAGGTTACTTTTACCGGCATCGTGTTCCTCTCGTCAAGACGCATCGAATGAACTATAACTTGACCTTGACAGGTCAACTTGAAAATTTGACCTCAGGTCAAGGTCATGGCCTGAACGGGAAGGGTCATGTTGCATATCAGTCGATCCGTATTGTCGAGCTGAGCACATCTAAGGCGTTTCCACCGCTCTAGCATGCCTCTATCAAAAGTTATTTGCGAAACACTGTTAGACACCATTCGTGACCTGAGATGACCTCAGGGGCATAAATAGGGGTCACGGTCACCATTTTTATGTTCAGTGTGTCTACACCACTTGTAATTCAGTGTTTGGGAGTGTTTATAATGTCTTTCGTCCAAAAGAGGCGCATTTCAATTTTCTCCCATTGACTTATAATGGGGAGGTCACAAAATTGACCTGACCTTAGGTCACCAATATCGAAATTCCGAGATGTACATTTGATAGATATGTTACCCTTATTAATCGCTGAAAGTTTCAAAGCGCTCGGTCACTCGGTGTAGCTATGGCAGACATTGAAACTTTGTATGAGGTGAGGTCACTTCAAGTGACCTGGTGACCTGACCTTGAATGACATTGGTCTGAAATTATCACAACATGTGTAGAATTGAGGTATGATAAGGTGTACCCCGTTTTTGAGATATTCGCAAAAAAAACACAAGGGTTCAAACACCCCCCCCCCCCCAGCAGGGCGCGGGTTAAATCGTGTATTACTGTCGTATTATTATTGCTTTCTAGTTTCTACGTCATCAAGTTTGTTCTCGTCCACCTATATTAGATGGTCACGTGACCACGACCTGCCACGTTGGCGGTCGGGTCATGGGCGGGGCCGGCCGGCGAGGTCCGACATTCTTGGCTGGACGGCGGTGACGCGCGGAGGTCGCTACTCCGTGCGACTCAGCGTGCGCTTTGGTTTCGGTACTTGGTTTGGTACAGCCGCTGATTGTTGTGAAGGCCGTAAAGGGCGCACTGCGTAGGTGAGTAAACGAATATGCATTTAACTCCTCGCACTCCTCGCTAACGCGCAACATGGCTACAGGAAACACCGTTCGACAGAAACAGTGCTCCATGTCATAACGGACAAAATTTTGCAGGCCATAGACAACGGTGACGGGTGAAGTATCCACTCTTGTCTTGGATCTCTCCAAATGCTTTGATGGAGTGCCTCACCTTAAATTGCTAGAGAAACTCTCTCTCTCGCTCTCGCTCTCGCTCTCTCTCTCTCTCTCTCTCTCTCTCTCTCTCTCTCTCTCTCTCTCTCTCTCTCTCTCTCTCTCTCTCTCTCTCTCTCTCTCTCTCTCTCTCTCTCTCTCTCTCTCTCTCTCTCTCTCTCTCTCTCCTCTCTCTCTCTCTCCTCTCTCTCTCCTCTCTCTCTCTCTCTCTCTCTCTCTCTCTCTCTCTACGCGATCGACACGGTCTGGTTCCGTAGTTATTTGTCAAATCATACACAGCAGGTTCGTGTGCGTTCGGCGGAGGGGCGGGACATGCTTTCGAGCTCGAGGTTCAATGACATCGGCGTCTTTCAAGGTGGAGCGCTCAGCTGTATTTTGTATATGTTGTTCGCCAACGACTTGAGCCTTTGTGTGCCCAATGATGTCACCATCGTCCAGTAGGCTGACGACACGCAGTTGTTGGTAAGCAGAAAGAAGCGTGACATTTATCGCTCGGTGACCAGTATGGAACACGCCTTGCACAACGTATACCTACCAATGGTTTTGCCATAACGGCATGAAGCTGAACGCCAAAAAGACGCAGATGCCCGTACTCGGAACGCCCGCGATGCTCCGCACACTGCCGCCTGTGACACTCCGTTTCTGTGACACTGTCATCGCCGACTCCGGAGTGGTAAAGAACCTTGGTGTTTATCTCGACCGGCATCTGAACTTCGAGACGCACGTGGACAGTACCGTGAAGAAATGCACTGGCATTCTGATAGCCTTGTCGCATACGCGCCATGTTCTCCCTACAAAGACGCTTAAGAGCATTGTCGAAGCTCTTGCATTGTCCATAGTGCGGTACTACCTGTCAATTTACGGATTCTGTGGCACGACCCAGCTTCGCCGTGTTCAGAAGATCATTAACTTCTGTGTGCGCGTGGTCACTGGTAGGCGGCGCTATGATCACGTATCGGGCTTCCTAGAGCAGCTCCGGTGGCTAGATGCGGATTGCACTTGGTCACCTATCACACGGCGTGTGCACTGGAACGCATTTTGGTTACCGGTCAGGCGTCAGCCCGAAAGTGTATTTAGCACCATAGGAGCCAAGGCTACTATGGACGTCAAACCCCTTGAGACCCTACTTTTTTGCGATAATTTTTAAATGCGTCAACTCTTGTTGACAATATTCTGGCAATGTGTGTTTCAGAACCTGCCGAAACTTTTATTACTAAGGTATTTTGACGCCAAATGATTATGAAAGGTACTTCTCATTCACTCGTAATGCTAAGGTAAATTCAGGCCCGGGCAGAGGCTTGCGCTCGGCCACACTCGAGCC